TGTAGGCCATATGAATATGCCATTTATTAATCTTTTAATCAGCTAAAATACCAAATTTTTAAAGATTAAGTGATATCATTTAGTACTTACACAAAACACTAAAAATAAATTGAATATATAGTTTATGAAAAAGAGGAAAGTCTTGTCTAAGCAACTTTAATAAACTGGCATTTTTTACAAGCAAATTCTTATTTTCTCTCAAGGTCTTGTTTCTAATGTGAGAAATACTTGTTCAAGCATGCCTTTTGTCTTCCCACTGTATGAGAGCTCTACTGTTAGAAATTTCTTATAGGACTTTTCACTTGTGCACTTTATGTTCTTCCCCTGACTCTTGCTTCAATCTCCAAAAATGTTCCAAGGCCATGTGTCTAAGTGACATGCTGAAGCAATCAAGGAAGATCTATAAACATACCTTGGTCAAGTTGCTCAGCTTGAACATGATTTATTTCACTCTTAGTATATATGTTTACTTTGTCTTTTTTTTTTTTTTTTTTTTTTTTTTTTTTTTTTTTTTTTTTTTTTTTTTTTAGTGCAAGCACTTAGTATAAAACTTCCTAAGGTTAAACTTTGTCTCTTTTCTCCCTTAAAAAGAAAGGGTTCTTCTCTAGAAACACTGCTGTAGTTAGACAACTGTAAATTGGAGTCTGGTAGTCCACAAGAAGATCAAGAGTTGGATTTTACAATATTGATTTTACAATATTTACCTGTATTTTTTTTTTTGTGGTTTTGTTGTCGCACATGACTCAAGATTCTTCATCTATACTTTCTTCCCTACCCTGATAAACAAGTGGCAAACCAAATTAAGGGCTACTTTAAAAGGATTAGGCCAAATTCTCCAATATCTGCTGTAACTCAGGGATCTGTAAGTGAACAAAGATATGAACAATCCCCTATTGTATTTGGAAAAAAGAAAAATTAGAGACCTCTGCAGTTCTTGCTGTTCCAAACCCTAGGAAAACTAGGGAATGGCTTGATTGGTAGATCACAAGCACTACAATTAGAAGGCAGAGGTAATTGATTGCTCACTTGCAAGGAGTGAGAACTATTCATATGGGCAGCCTACTTCAGATGAATTCAGTGCCAGAGAAAATTCTTGATATATAGAATAAAGCTCTGTGAGCAGTACTGAGGGCCGTTCAGATTGTTTTGGATCTGTCCTCTCTGAATCTTAAGTGTTTAGATAATAAATCAAGATGGAAGCATCCTGGCTGTCTCACAAAAATAACTGCTGTCATTTCAGATGCATAAGCAGTACCTCTTTTGGCAATTACAATGATCAGAATTTAGAACCACCCAACAAATCAGCAACCTCCTCTTAGATAAAAAGGAAATTGTAGGGACTTGGGAGAGATGTATCTGCAGTATTGTTCTTTCACAAGATAAAAGAAGGATAAAATAGAAGTTTATATTTCCATCCTTCCCTTCACTCTTACCCCAGGGTCTCTGGTTATCTATTGCCTTTTTATTCAGTGCAGCTGAGACCAATTACCTCCTCTGTGATTATTGAGGTCAGATCTTAAGTTAGATGTGTGGTACAAATATATAAGGAAAAGGAATATATAAGGAAAAACAGATTGCTAAGGAAAAAGAATCCATTCCATTGCAGATACTGTTAAATGAAACAGAGAGCACTAGCTGAACATGCCACCTTCTTAGCATTTCTAATATACCAACTGCAGAGAAATATCAGAAGGGTTTCATTTGGGTTTAAAGATAGTTTTAAAGTTCTTGAAACTGCTGCATTGCATAGTTCTTATAAGTAATGTAGACTGTCTTGGGAAAAGAGAAGCTATAATTCTTGAAGAAAAACCATAATTCAACACTTTTCCCTATAGTTTTATGAGATGATATGCAGAAAGGTAACATTATGGAACTCCTCTGCATTAGTAAGACTTCTGACCGTCTGCCTGCTCCTCTGGCTGTTCTTTTAAAACCAGCATTATACCGTTAGTTTTAGACAGGCTGTTTAAGCCAGCAAAAATGGAATACAGTCTGCATCTGTTTAGTCAGTTTGAAATAGGTAAATGAATCATACCAGTGGCTCCCTATGGAGCATTTTGTGTTCCCTCCTTTCTTCCTTGCCTTCCCACTCCAATCTAATTGCAAACTTGCTTTTGTAAAAGAGGTAGCCTTAGTGTAATGATGATCAAATATAAATGATGTGTACTTATGGAAGTAAAACTGGTAGTTTGGTACACGTGCTGGTACATGTTTTCCTCTGCAGTCATGGCCAGAATGGTGCAAATTACTGGACTGTAATGGCATACTGCCACTACCACCTTTGGAAAAAGATGGCAATAATTGCAAATCCCCTTTCCAACCATCAGAAAAAAATACCTGCCCTAATGATCAGTTTCCTGTTAAATGTAAAAGCAGAGGTTAATGGAAGAGCCTTCTCAGAGAAAAAAAAAAAAAAAGGTGGATATACCAGCAGTTTATGAAAAGCATTGAGTTCCTGGGCACATCAGGAATAGCAGCTTCCATTTGCTGCTATTTATCAGACAGGCTTTTTATCAGACATACTACTGCTACCATCAACATCTTTTTTTCACAAGAAAAGCTGGTAGAAGAAGGAAAGCTATTAAACTATCAAAATTATTATTTTTTTTGATAGACCCAAAGGCTATAAATCACACTTGGACTCTCATTTCCAGACAGTTGGAGTCTGGTTATGTTATTTCTTTGGCAATTGAAACTCTGAATATCTGGATAACAGTAGTCAGCTTGATCCAATTCAACTCTTTCTCCTTCCCAAAATGCTCACTCCACAAGAGACTCACTTGCAGTGATTGTGAAAACCTGAAGTTTTCTGTTTTAAGAAATTGTACAGAGGTAATTCAAAAGAATTTGGGGTTGAAAATAATTTAGAAGTTGGTCTTAGATGATCTCTAGAATCCCCCCTACCCTCAACCATTCTTAGAAAAGGTTTCCATTCGAGCGACTTTGAATTCTAGAAAATGATGACAGCTGAGAATTAGGCCAATAAACACCCTTTTTTCCATATTTTCAATTTCCAAAATTATGATTGTTTGTTGCATTGGTCATCTAACTCCTTCCCTCCCAGTACATATAGAAATATTGAAGTGTGAATATAATACTTAAGTGGCCTGAATCTTTCACTCTAGCACATATGCTGCTCAGACAGGAGTTGTATTTGGAGCTGTATTTTTATTATATGCCAGGGAGTATTCTGCATTTGATGTTTCAATAACTTAAGATGTCAGTCAGACCATTCTCAATTACGATGCAGACACCACACAATAGAGTAAGTGCAAGCAGGCATTGCTATAGACTTTTTATACCACAGGGTATATCCCATAGGCTTGGAAAGGATGCCTTTTTTTTTTTTTTAACAGATCAGATCCTTCCCTAACCAGGAGGGAACATCCAGGAAATAGATTTACTGAGGTTCCTTTCGTATGTCAGTGATACTATTGATTGTTGGGAGGAGTACTTTGATATATCTTGTGCTTTTAGGTCCTTAATGAGCAGATAAAGAGGTGAAGCAGTACCCAGTGTCTTGGAGCTCAGAGTAACATGCAAGTCTCATATGTTTATACCATGTTCTGGAACAATGCATTCAGATTCACTGGACAGCATTGTCGCTGTTTTCAGTGGAGAAAGTGGTGTGAAATACTCTTCTGTCTATGGATAGGTGGCCAGCCACTAAAGTAACATTGGTTGTGTCTTTTGGCGATTGGTCCTGAAAGTTTCTAGAAGGTCAAAATGCACTGCCTCAACGTATTCCCGTTCCTGAATAAGAAATCAGGGGGATCAATGTTTCTATCATTTGTAATACGGAAGGCTTCAGAGGCTGAGCGTTTTGTACAACATGTAAAGAAGTGACAGTTTCACTGCTCGAGGTTTGTATAAGTTTAATTTTGGCATTTGCTGTGACTCCTTTTTCATCCCTTGGTCAGGGAAGCCTTTTTGTATCTCACAGCCTGTCCCTCTCATTTCACAGGTCTTATGACATATTTGGACAGGAAGAACTAACTTGATTAATGGTTAATTTTTAAGAAATAGGTTATATTCCCCAATATAGATTGGTTTAGATAGAATTCATCAAAGGCAAACTAAGAAAATATAATTTTTAAAATGTATGCTATTAAGAAAGTGCATATTCTCTGCAAGTGCTTCATTTATGTCAGGTCAATCAGACATTTTTCATTGCTAGGAATAATGGTAGTAACTATTCATTAAAGATAGTCTTACATCTGTAAAGAACATATTTCCAATTAGTTTCTCAGTGAATAAACTTCTCTTTTTAATTTGATGATTATATTGCCTATCTATAGCTCTAAGGGTTTATTTCAGATTCCCAGGGCAAAAGGATTCTTTTGTCATATTTCTCTTTGCAAAGCTTTATAATTTTTGTTGAAAGTTAAGAGATCTGGTATCCAGAAATCTGTCAGCTAAAAGCTACAGGGAGATTTCTTTCTGTGTTTTCCTCTGATATTAAGTCTCCTTTACTTGGCAAAGGGGACTTACAATAGGAAGGCTCCAAGTCTCATCCATATCAATGGATGCATAGAGGGAGCATGTATACAGGTAGCCTTGGAATTGCAAACCCCAAGTTCTACTTTTACTTTCATTGGCTTCTCTGTGCAGATACTGTATGTCACCTACTCCCTATTTGTTTACTAGTTCAGGTGCCTCAATTTATAGGCCTTATTCAGATAAAATACCCAAATGAGGACCAACTGCCTTTAATTTCTGTCGCAAGAATATTGTGAAACTTTTTTTACAAAAGCTTTATAATTAAAATGCTTTCAAAACTCTGTGGAGAAAAAAAGATGCTAAACAATTGTGCAGTTTTCTGAGATCTGAAAAAAATAAACAAAGCTTAATTGATCCTACTTCTCTGTTAACAGTTCTGCTGTACTAAAAGTGCCTTTTTTTAGGTCCTGACGTTCTTTGTAAAAATCTCATTAAGTTTTAAGTGATGCCTGATATTGCAGAAAAGTAATGGGCTGTTTTTCTCCTCCTCTTTTGGGCAGTTTTGGTATGAATCATGATGGAATTGGAAATTCCTGTGGGACCAAAGGTCACGAAGCAGCAAAGCTAATGGCAGCTCATATTACAGCAAACACCAACCCTTTCTCTTGGTCAGCCTGCAGTCGGGATTACATCACCAGTTTTTTGGAGTAAGTAATCTCTCAAGAAAAATGATAAGTTGTTCCAAAAATTCACACCTTTTAGAATAAATAGTTGGTGGAGCTACAGTGACCTTTTCTAATAGTTTACAATTTTAGGATTAAAAAACCTAAAGTGTGAGAAGTCACTTCAAATTTTCATGTTGTATTTTTTTGTATGTAATAGCAAAAGTTTCTGCTGCTACATTCTGAATCTCATTTTTATCTATTCAAAACTTTTTGAAGTGCTGACCATATTTAATTACTTCATTAATCTGAAGGTAAGAAATAAAAAGAAAGAATAGGAAAGTATTTTTTTAAATACATGCACAGTGTCAAGCAGTCTAAGAGAACAGCCTTCTATTCCTGTTCCCCCTAAATTACATTTTCATGATTATATTAATAACTTAAACTTTTTTTAAATTGTCCTAATTGGGGGGTGATTCTTATCCAGAAATATTTTTTGTTTTTTTTTGTTTTTTTTTTTTTTAAACTTGGAAATTTTACTTCTATTAAAAAAAAAATAAAACAGTCAAAATACGTTAGTCACAAAAATGTACTGATTGGTATACATTGGCATACCTGATGCATAATGAAGCCTTTGTTTGCAATTTACATTGTGGAAGACAAGCACCAAAGTAGAGTGAACTTGCTGAAAGTAGATTAATAAAAGGAGTTTTAAAAATGTGTGTTACACAGGGGCTTCATGGAGGCAAACTGCAGTTGTGAGGTAGGTTCAGTGTCATCAGTGCAATCATTCCTTTTAGAAATAAAGATAGTTTAATAATTCAGATACTTGCTATGTTGTAGGAGGTAGACTTAAACCAGGCTTAAAACAGTCATCTGACCACTGAAGTACAATGAACAAAATGAGCTGCTTCTCCTCTTTTAGATATCTAACTTCAGAATAAGGTGCTGTATGATCAGTCTTACCTGGACCCATCCAGGCAAGTAATATTTGCTTTTTATTGATTCTAATGTAGCTCCCCACTCAGTGTACAGGCACGTCAATTTGTTCTGTGTAGGTGCGTAGGCTCCATAAAGAATCAGTGGACAATTTCGTGTTGATATTGGGCACTGTTCAGATTAATGTAATTCTCTTCAGTATGAAGAGAATTCAGTTAAAATATGCTGACTAAATCATCCTACACATATCTGTGTTACATGTTTCTTAGAACATAAATCAGTTTTCTGATAAGAAATACCTATGCATTCATTTAACACAAATTAAAGATAAAACTAGACAATGCCATCTTGTTTTTATCACTGCCAATCGCTTCTGTCAATGCAATAGTGTCCATTCCCTTTAGTATTCTTTCTGGTATATTATGCAGTTTAGATTTAACTATGACCAAGAATGGGATTTTTCATCTCTTCTGGGAGATTATTTCCCAGTTTAGTAGTTTTGAATATCAGTTTACATTTCAAGTGTTTTCTTGGAGCATTTGAAGGTTTGTTTCTCACTGTAAGAGTTCTGTTATTCTCAGTCTTGTCTTGCCTTTATTTGTTGCTCTCTTTTGAACTCCTTATTGTTCTGAAGATATCTTGTCTATAGATGAAGATGTTGTTCAACAGGTAGTTAAAGCAGTCATTCATTTTCCATTTATGGGTTTAAAGAAACATGTAGTGAATTCTATATCTTGAGTTATGCTGCAAACATAATGGTCCTTCCTCGTTTTAAATTTCAGTCTGGATGAACTTCCTTCTTTCTTAGCTTGATGCCTCTGCGTAGTAGTGATCTTTTTACTGTGAACTTTTTACTGTATCAATTAAAAAAAAATTTAGCTTGTGGCTTTACTACTTTGTTACATTTTTTTCCTATATTATTTACTCTTAGTATCTCCCTTATTATTTTCCATTCCCTGTGTTTCATTTGCTATAAAGTTTCAATTTAAAGTCAGTGAGATGCCACTGAAATTTCAGTTTTGCTAGCATAAATACAGTGTAGTACACTGGTGAATCTGTTCACGTAATCCTAATCTCCTCAAATTTTTTGAGATACTTTTTTATCATTTGCAACTCTTGACAAATTAGTGCCATCTCTAAATTCTATAAAAATTATTATTGAAGATCCTAGATAATACTTGAACCCTAGAAATAATTCCAGTAATAGGTTGCTTTTTATGATATTTCAGTTATGCTTTTATAGCCCAGAAGGAATGTTTTTTTTTCAAAGCCACTTTGGATAAACATTGTTTTAGGCCTTTCAATTATTAATGGATTTTCCAATTGTATAAGTTACATTGTTATATAATGTGCTAAGAGACAACCACCTTCTTCATCTACTAATTTTATGTTCTGTAAAAAAAAAAAAAAAAAAAAAAAAAAAAAAAAAAAACAAA